TTGCTTCCCTTGATAGATTACTTGTCAAGTTACTGTAGGAATAACTTACAATACCTTGAATCTAGAACAGGGCTCTGAAACTTTGAAGGACTACACTGCAGGTGAATTGGAGTGAGCCAGATGTGAGATAATAGAGAATGATGAGAACCTTGAAGGACTAGAGAGCACATGTCCCATCAAAAGGGGCAGCACATTGTGCTACAATGCACCCAAGGGGGTGTTCTCAGACTCAACTAGACAATCAAACTTACTTGATTACACCTGGCATCTGACTCACTCAGGGACAGGACGCAGTGCATGCCAACAGAGCAGTGCCAGGCCTTTGTCTTCAGGGGAGTCCCTGGAGTCATCCAAACAGCAATCTAGTGCTTTTCCCTTTTTTAAAAAAAAAGATTGTTTTCCCAAGTGTTATCTCAAGAGCAAAGAATTAAAATTCATGTAGCTAAGTGTGGAGGCTTCTGACTCAGAAGCTCCATGTCTTAAATAGGAGCCAAGATCTCTTGTAACATTCCTATAGGCATAGTTTCCAAAGTCCCCATGAGGGATAAGCCCAGTGGCAAGGGTCACCACACACAGGGAAGCCCAAGGCAGTCACTTCTTACCAGCTGTGCACAGTTCGCTTGCAGTCCTCCCAGCTAGATGCAGCAAATCAGTCCTGGTTTATTTTAACCATAACAACATTGCCAGCTCACATGCCGACATTTCTCCCTACCAAGTTTCCAGGATAATAAAGCCGGAAAGTTAACCCAAGATGAATGTGTCCATAAGGAGAAAGGGTTTTACCTTTCCCCACTGTTATCCTATGGGAGTGCAAGCTCAGACCTTTTCTTTTCCTTCTCTCCCTTCTTCTCTTCCCCTCACCCTCCTCCTTCTTTTAGAAAAGCTTTCGGAAGTCTAGATTTTTTTTTAAGTGATAAATCTTCCAATTTTAAGTGAGAATACTAGAGTAAGAGTACTGAACCAGAAAAAACAAAAGACCTGGGTGCTAGTGTTCTAGCAGTTAGTTGTGTGACCTCCCTTTATAAAATGACAGGCTTACATAAGCTCTGCTGAAAAGCTATTTCTGTGATTCCATTACTCTTTTCTAGTTGCTGACGAGGTGATACTTCTTTTCTCGCTCTCAATGCCAAGGAACCCAGTTCTCTTCCCTCAACTTTCCCCTTTGCTACTCTGCGTTATCAAGTGAAACCAAAGAGTAAGATGAAAACAGGCAAGGGTCTTTCAAAACCATAAATGACTGATACCAATCTCATCATGGACTAGATTTCCCCATGGAGATAATATAAAGGTTAATGCTAACTCTCCTAGAATTTAGGCCAACATATCTGCTTTTATTGGCATTGCCCAGAGAAGCTGAATTTTAAAAAGTTGCATCTGGGTGGATTTTAACTTTTAATCCAGTTTTTCAGAGCATCCACATTTTAACATACAGTGCAAATAGTCCAATGCCATTAGAGTTGTTACAACCCCAGTTGGAATCGCTTCATATTGTGGCATCGTTATATCCTGTAATCCTCAAATATTGTTACTTTGCCAACCCTGCCATCACCATGAAGAAAATATAGTGTGCTATGGAATTCACTTACAAATGAAAAAAAAATGGGATTATTTTCATTTTAATATCCCCTGCCATTATTTCATCTGCAGTGTTATGAAGACCAAGTCAAGGATTCCATCAGTAGCCAACAATAAAGAAATGAATTTATAAATTTCCAATCTGGCTCTAACACCAAATCTGTATTTGGCCAGTGGTGTAGGGATTTGGGTATTTCCTCTAGCCTTTTTGAACAAATCTTTTAGTTTTTTGTGGGGCAGAGGCTCCTTTTGTTATGGAGTACAGGTACATAGTCCATAAGGAATAGGAGGGACTGGGTTGAAAGTAACTGTGCCTTGTAGTTATTAAAAATATGTCTCGCTCATGATGACATGGTCATTCTCAGGAATTTCATTCTTCTTCCATTTGACCGCAATATTAAACATTTCACCAAGGAAATATCCCACAGGCGATTTAGTCTTAGGAATAGGATCTAATCTTTTATATCACTGTAAGCAGCTGATCAAAGGTATTGAAAGCTAGCTATAAAAGGATTGACTGGCTCACATTGCAATATGTGATTTTAAAACATTATTCAATAGAAGAAAAAAAAAAAGAAGATCCCCTCTCCCATTTTTTTTTTCAAGAACACATTACTGAAGAGAAAATATCGAGCCTTCATTCATCATTTAAAATATTCTTAGGAAATAGCGTCGAAGCTTTCTTAAGAAAAGAGGAGGTGGGAAGGGAGGTGAGGGATCAAAAATTGCCTGTTGGATACAATGCACACTATTCTGGTGACGGCTGCACTGAAAGTCCTGACTTCCCCGCTGTAGCGTTCATCCGTGTGATGAAAAACACGTGTATCCCCTAAATCTATTGAAAAAATAATAATAAAGATTTAAAAAAAAATTTGTTCCTAAACATAAGGGCAATTAAAAGCCATTAGGTGTTTTAGGTAATTGAGCTTTTATGCTTTCAAGATACCACTCTTTCGAAGAGTATGGGGAGTGAGTTGCAGCGGCATAGGGCTGTCTGCAGAGAGATCAAAAAAAGTTGCGATGATACCAAGTCAGAGATGCTGGTGCCGTTGTCTTAGGCAGTGGCTGTGGTGATGGATTCTTTGTGCTTCCTCTGCTGAATCCAAACACAAAATCTTGCCGGGCCCAACATGAAGTCAACCCCACCAGCTCACTGTGCACTGAACTGCATGCCTTCTTACCCGTTCATGGACTTTGCTGTTGCCATTGTTTTACTTGTTTCTCCTGAGTTATATAAATGTTCCTTCCCTGCTGCATCACTCCCATTGATCTTACATCAAAATATTAACAAATAATAGTTTTGATTACCTAAACGATAAATACTTTTACTAATGAAATAATGGAAATAAATTACATATGGACATATAAACTATATTAATATATAATTTATAATAAGTTCATCTCATTCCATAAAATGTTTAAGACATAAGATTGGTATTTCTTTATGGTTTCCCCCTTCTGCCAACTTTTTCAATTTACCAAACAACTCTTGGCCCTGAAAGTGTAGGATAAGAGGATTTTTACATGGTTTGAGGATTTTTACATGGTTCGAGAATGGCTTTCCAAAGTGGAGATTGCAGTCCTATAACAGACATGATGAGAACAGCAACACAGGTAAAATATTCAGAACAATCTCGAGAGAATAATACAATTAATGTTCTCATTTTACACATAAGACTTAAGGAGAGTAAATGACCTAGAGCTGAGCTGTTTTTGAAACTAAGATTCAACTTACTCAAGGCTCATTCTCTTCCTTTGATGGTATAATATCTTTTCAAACCTCTTCTCCTATACTTCTCATTTAGACCTTTTATAACTTGGCTTTTTCAAAATAGAGGTCAACTAAAGGCTACTGAGCTAATCATTTATTTTAATTAATGATGTCTGAATTACTCTGATGTAATGATGGAGATGTCTTTTTTGTCTTTGGTAATCAACTCTTGTTTCTTAAGAGCAGGTGTGAGGGCAGGTCCTTGGTTAAATAAATTTAGGAAATGCTGCATATCAAATTCTCCTCTTAGAGATTCTACAATGCTAAAATCAGGAGAAATCCTGTAGTAAAGAAATCTGCCCAACTTTTGTTAACCCAGTATCTCTAAAAGATATTTGTCCACATACTTTTTAAAAAATGTTTTTGTTTCCTTTATGTCTTTATTTTTTTTTCTATTTTTAGTTGGCAGCTTTTATCTTCAATGTCCATATGATTTTAGCATGTAATACCTCTTTACATCCCATTGAACCAGAAATCCATGGCCCACATTTTAAAAATATTGCTTTATGGAAGGCGTGCTCACACTTTTTTTCTTACGTCCATTCCTGTTGTTATATACTCTCAGAGAACTCATAGTTCTCTAGTCTGAATCTTGTTCAGTGCACCCTTATTTTTCTCAGCTCCTTGTCATAATCAGGAGAGAAAAGGCAAATGTTGCAAAAAAAAAAAATAGACTTGGCAGTTTCTTCTAATAGCTAAACTGTGACCTTGGCACCCATCCTCTTAGAGGTCAGTGAGAGGTACATGTAATCATCCACAAGCGGAGAGTCAGCTAAAGACTGAGATCACCCCTTGCTCATCAGGTCCTGGTTAAGAAGCTTACGAAGAGCAAAGAAAAAGAAAGCTCAGATTCCTGCCACAAGCTAAATAAGTGCATCCAGGGTCAGGCATCTTCAAAGAGGGTCAACTAATCAATGTTCACCCAGCAATTTGTGATCTGAAGGGCTGCAGGAATGCTAAAATTATATGTATCTTGTTGTTCCTTACAACTAAAGATGACACATCAGGAGGTGATTGCTCTGTGCGCGTGAGGCTGGCTGAAAATAACTCTGTGCAGACCTTAGCCCTGGCCCTGCTGCAGCCACACGCACTCCTTTATGGGATAACCAGGCCATTTGCAGTCGGCTGCCTGCTGTGTCTGTCCTGTGCAAGCTCATAGCATGCCAGCACCTGACTGTCTGGTAAATATCAGGTTAAGATTGAATGCTTGTGCTCAGAGCTTTTATTGAGAGAGGGACCTTCCCTGATTCCACCATTTGCCCCTCTCCTGAATCTTTATCACCATGCGTCAGAAGAGATCAGCTATGGAGATACCTACAGGGAATGCCACTCTGCTTGTCTTCCCTGTCCCCATGCTCGTTCCAGGGCAGACCTGACTACCAGAATGGCTCAGAGATTGAAGTGACTTGCCCAAGATTACACAGCTAGCAATTGGAAGATGTGGCATTGTATCTAAAATCTTAGCATAGGCTTTAGTTTTATTTTATTTTTTAATGTATTTTTTATTTCAGCATATTATGGGGCACAAATGTTAAGGTTATGTATATTTCCCATGCCCCCCTTCCCCCTCAAGTCAGAGCTTCAAGCGTGACCATGCCCCAGACGGTGCACATCTCACTCATCATGTATTCTACTAAGTGAAGTGTCCCAAGAATGGAAAAACAAGCACCACATGTACTCACCAGCAAATTGGTATTAACTGATCAACACCTAAGTGGATGTATAGCATAGGCTTTTAGTTGAGGGGATTTGCAGTTAGAATGAGGCTGGGTAGAAATCTAGAGAAGAAGAATGAAAGCAGAGAAGCCAGAGATGTAGTGGGGCAGGAGCAGGACTCGTGGAGGAACAAGACAAGGGGAATGATTTTGTTTTAAACAGAATTAGGAACATAGAGTTTGAGAACACATTTTCAGAAGTCCCTGTGTAGTTACCCACTGAATGCTTGTTCAGATATTTAACACTCTTCAATACTAGGTCTGTTGTCTAATTGTTCTACTATTCAGAATCCTTTTATGGCTGCAAATGCCAACATCCAATTCAAATAGCAAAAACAAACATGGGGAATTTATTGTCATAAAATTCCTATTAGATTCCACTAGATTTTAGTTCTCAAATGATACTGTTAGGAATCTCACTCTTCATCTCTTGGCTTTGCATTCTTTCTTTTTTCATTTTTTCTTTTTCAGAAGGGTCTCACTCTGTTGCCTAGGCCAGAGTACAGTGGCATGATCATAGCTCACTGCAACCTTGAAATCCTATCCTCAAGTTATTGTCCCACCCCTGCCTCCCAAAGTGTGTGATTACAGGCATGAGCCACTGTGCCCAGCCATACCTTTGATTTCCTCAAGCCACCTCTTACTGAACTCAGCAGGAACAGAATGCCTCACTCCCAGTAATTATAGCAAATCCTTCAAAATTGACTTTTATATGCCAACTTGAGTCATATGCCCATCCTTAAACCAATTATGTTGAGTGGAGCGTATGGGGCTGGTGCTGGATAGAAAATGCTGATTAGGCAGGCACAGGACATAGGTCCATTCTTGGAGCCAGAACAGAGATTAATCTCACTTACATAACATCTCCTGAGAATGGGGGGAAAAAACTGGGATGAGGTTACCCAATGAGGGGAAGCTAGGTACCAAAACCAAAGGATGCCCAGTGTCACCTTATTGCAAGGTATGGTTGCAGACCAGGGTCCCATCCCCAAGAGTTATTCCAAGGTGGAAGAGGTATATACCATGCACCATGAGATCCGCTGTCCTGGACATGTGAGCAGGATTCAGGAAACTTGATTTTCCTAGAACTCTATCCCTGCTGTGTATATCCTGCTATGTCCCTAGTGCCTAGAAGAACTACCTGCACATCGTAGGCACACACTATGCTTTTGTTGAAAGAGCGATTAAAAACTAAGCATAAGGGATACAGAGGTTCAGTTTGGGATTTTGGAAAAATTCCAGAGATGAATAATGATATATAACAATGTGAATGGACTTAATGCCACTGAACTGCACACTTTAAAAAATGGTAAATTTTTTAAATTTTTTGCCCAATAATGTTTTTTTTAAAAAAGGGGAAAACCTTAGGCATTAAGAAAGACAAGATTTTGGTGGTTTCTTCTGGACTCTTCCTTTCCATCTAAGCTTGCCCTCGTCAGTCACAGGACCTCAGGAGTTAGGTAGTCACCACTGGGAGCAGAAGGAAGTGCTTACCCAGTGCTTGTCTAGCAAAGTTGAGCACAGATATTAATTAGCTTCCCCTACTTTACTTAAGGAGATCAAAGGATACAAACTGGTGGGGGCCGACGGAAGTCAGGAGAATTTGTTTTATGAGTGCATGTGATGCGTGAGTGAGGTTCAGCCAGAATTCACAAACTCTGTCATCTCCTATGGCCAGGCAGGTAAGAACATAAATTAGTAAGATAACATAGGTCAGGTGGAGATCCTCCTGACCTTTAAGCAGGCCAGCCACTGCTCATGTTGGGCCAATTACTGCCTTGAAGAAATATAGGCTCAGTATTGCCTGACCTTATGGTTTTTCACGAGAAGCCATAAATGTGGACTTTTATGTGAAATCTTTCAATTTTTGAATGTTAGCAATCACTTTTAAAAATGTTATACAGTAGCATGGGAAACAGAACACAGCTATTTTCCAGATCTGGGCCATTGTGAGCTTGCGGTACCTGTTGTAAGTGCTACTGACTGTCTTTCCATTGATTTTTCACTTTCTTCCAAAGTTGAGACTATTGTTCGCTTTCTAGCAAATGACAGTCATGATCCCATGTATTTTTTACATTTTACAGTTTAAGGTGACACAGGTGGTTAGGACAGATATTAACGTGCCAATTTTATGTTTGAAACCATCAAGGCTCTAAGTGGAGGGACCAGCTTGCACTCAGATCATGTGAAACAATGTTCTGTACTATATGACTTCAGGTGGTGGCTTTCAAAACTCCCCCTCAAGTTTCCTTATTTATATCATTTATCTAGATGAACTGGTTCCACCTTACATTGGAAAAAACTGAGTTTCTCAATTTCCCACAATTCCTTTTGTTCGTCAGATGGCAGAAGTCATTACCTATGCAAAACTATAGAAATAGATTTGTGTATTTAGCAGTAATAAATACAATAACTAGGGAATTTAAGTCATATAATATTTTCCATCTTGCCAGAGATGGATAATTTTTTATCCCCCCTGAGGGAACTTTTGACTTAAGAATGTGTTCCAATCCCTTTGACAAGTTGGAATAATCATTAATGTTTACAGTTGCTATAGCAACCAGAAATGCTGGCAATTGAGTAGGAAAGGAGCCTGAGAGAGGAAGATAAGCTGTGTCAATTATTGAACATCTGTCAAACAGTTAGCCAATTTAAAGTGACAGACAAAAAGCTAGAAATTGAAGGTGGGTAAAATGTATTTTTACTAATGTTCAGTTAAGAGCATCAGTTTTGTATTGTTTTGCCACTATTACAGAGGTTTAATTAACTCTTATTTTCATCCACATAAAGGACGTATTTTCTAAGGGTAAGATCTGGTTGCAAGCAAGGGTAATTTTTTTGTGCCATAATAATCTTAATCCATCTCTGCTGAATGCTACTCTGAGGTTTCCTGAGCTCTTCTACGTGCAGTATTTAATTAGTCTTCATGACAACACACTGGATGTGGTACATTAATATCCATTTTACAGACTTTTACATTTATTTCGTGGGAGCAGAGAGGTGGAACACTGTGCCTCTAATCACAGGCCGCCCTAGCCACTACTCACCGCAGAGGCGGCGCCCTAAATATTTGTCATGTGTGTCTGCAATACCTTCCCTAGCTCCCATGGCAGTTATCACAGATCAGTTAAAACTCCTTTTTCCTCCCAGTCCCAGGCACTCCCAAAACCCTACCACAAGCATTCTGGACTGCCAATACCCATTAGGCAGAGCTCCGTAGTCTAGACAAAATGCATTTGCAACCCCTGTCCGATAGTGATTTCTCACCACCGCTTGGTGTTTTATTGTTTATAAAGCGTTTTCATGTACACGGTCCCATTTGGTCATCAAGCCTCTGAAGTGAGGGGTTGGTATCCCTTCTTTGCATGTGAGAGGATTGAAGCTGAAAGAGACTGAGTGATTTGGCCAAGACCAAGATAGAGTTGGGTGGAAGATGTGTCCTCCTCAACTACTGCCTTTTCCAATACATGATGAAAAAAAAAAAAATAAGTAAGAATTATAGAGTAGCAGGATTCATTTCTGCCCTGATTACTCATTAACCAAAAGGAAAAAGAAAAAAGAATAAAATAGGAAAGTATTTAATGTTTCTTTAGAAACCTCTTCCTGCTCCTGACAAAGGAGAGTTGGACAGATTTTTTCCTAGGGAGCTCTCCAGCTGTAATCGGTAACACATGAGCTCTGTATAGCTTCACTGCCAAATCTCACAAATGCCATACGTGTTTATTACCTGCCACATCTCAATTCATCATTGCATCCCCAGTTTCTCCCAGATCTCAGTTTCTAGAAAGTGATAGAGCATATTAATTTTAAGTTATTATTTTTGCTACTTCAATTTGTTAGCATAATAAGCATTCTAACACTACATATAAATGATCAGAAGATTCAATTTTCTGGCCTGGCTTTGTTTAATGTTGAGTTTTAATGAGTCACTTTTTTCTCTCTGTTCCTCATTTTCTTTTCTGGAAAGCAGATATTATTACCTCCTAGAGAGGAACCAAATGAATTAACATAAATGAAAATAACTGTAGAAAAATAAAGTACTATCCACAATAAGATATCAGTGTAGCTTTGTTAATCATAAAATCTGACCTGGTCTGTTAATAATAAGTAAATGATTTTAAATGGGTCTTTAGAATGAATTGGAATGAATATATAATTTGTCAAATGATTCCATTTACTATCTTTGCCTTAACAATAATAATAAACACAAACTAACATTTATTGAGTGTTAGTATGTGCCAGACAGTGTGCTAATTATAATTAGCACTTTGCTTAGTATTGCACTTTATCCTCTCAACCACTCTGTGGGGTATTAAGTATTATCATCTCTATTTTTCAGATGAGCAAATTGAGTCTCAGATAAGTAACTTTCCATGCTCACATAGTAGTGGCTAAGTAAGGTTTCAGGACCAGATATGTCTCATTCTAAATGCTAGGGTAGATACTTGACCAGTTATAAAAAAATACTTAAAACACCTGAGATAAAGATATGTATTTTAAAACGAAACAAAACATGGTCTTGCCTAGATGTCACATCATCTGATGTTTTTTCTCCTGAAATATTTTTCTTGAAGCTGACTTTTTTTTTTTCTTGCAAGTCTTTATTTTATTCCCTTGAAAAAATTGTAAGAGTCCTCCATAAGAATCCACTGTTTCTAGGAGCCGGTTGTTATAAAGAACACTTTTAAGTGGTAGTGAGTGGATGGGAAATTAGTGTACAAGTATTTTTCAAAGGGCATTCTGAGGGGACTTATGAACAATGGTTAAGGAGAGGCCATTACTAAATAAGAGAAATCTCTAAGGAGAAAAGAAATGGCAAGGGTTTATATTGGTCAAGATACTTTTGATCAGAGGAGACAAAAAAAAAAAACCAGTATCCACTAGGGAATCTTTTTAAATAAATGAATTTATTGATTTCAAAAGAAAAAGCATATTACCTGAAGGCAAAGAATGTTTCTTCTGAGTAGATTTTCTCAAGAAATTGAACCGCCACCTGCACTCATATCATCTGCCTGTCAGCTCTGAATCTTAGCTTCATCCTCTCAGACCAGCTTATCAGTGGTACATTAGACATGGGACTAGGGGGGACTAGGGGAGTCTCTGCTCCCAGTTTCAGAGTCTTGAAACCAGAGGGAAAAAATGGCCCTTTTTGCTCAGCTTGAATTTTAAAAGTTTCTGATTGGCTGACTTGAGTCATATGATTCTCACTGGGCCAATCAATTACTATGCCTTGGGGGCTCAGTCGATATGATTGGTCTACCTCGTAACTCATCCCCATCTGTATGGCTGGCCATAGAAGGGTGATAATTGGATGCCATGAGAACCAACTGAAAAAGCATTGCTAAGAAGAAGAAAAGTGCCTTTTGTGGATGAGCCAAACTCGTTGGTGATTAATCTTTCATCTGATCCTATCCAAGCTACACCTCAAGGCAGAGCCCCACCATTATAATCTGTGATTATCTCTTTTGTTGTTCATTGTCCAAATTATAAAAGTAAAATACCTTTATTTGGGGAAGAACCATTCCATTCTTCATAGAACACTGGGCCAAATGCTTTTTTGCTGGTTTCACTGGAGCATAGGAAAATGTATGGAAATGGGGTGGGGAGGAAAAGCATGTTGGGTTATGATGCAAACTGGTATTTTCTTAGCCAATTTGATTGAGGGTTAATTCATGCTCAGAATTTAAATGTCAATTTTCTGAATTTTAGATCACATCTTTAATTAAGGAGGGTGTAGAATTGTTTAATAATCTGGTAAAAAAGTTGTGCATTGGTGACTTGTGTGGGAACTGGTTATATTACTTGAAAGCCTGCTTAGTCATATTACTGCTTGAAGCCTTTTAAAAATGCAAATAATTATAGTTTAATTGGCATTTTCTACCATTCAAAATTTTTCATTATTCCTGAGAATCCATTTCAGTTCCCATATTGAATTCTCCTTATTTCTCCTTCTCCCCAGAAATTGCTTAGACTAAAGCATTCAGACAGATTTTGATTATGCTGTGACAAAAAGCAAAAATTCTATTAATTATGATTATGGACACTTTTCCTTAGATATATGTTTAAATGCTGATGATGCAAGTGACATATACACACTGATACTTCAGGATTTAACTGGTTGCCTAGTTCCCTAAAATTGCAAGCATCTCCTCGGTGTAGACATGGTGTTAGGCACTACAGCGGCATACAAAAGCGAATGAGACTGTCCTGATCCACACAAAAGAAATGTTCTCAAGAGATGTCTGTTTTAATCCCAAATCTAATTCCACTGCTCTGTGGCCTCAGAATAGCTCACACAACTTTCCTACGTCGTACTTTCCCTATCTCTCCAATGGAACTAATCCTTATTCTACTTGCTTTTAAAAATTGTCAGAGGCCCCAGGATAATGGATATAAAAGTGCTATGAGAATACAAAGAATTAAGCACGTTGCAGATCTGCCATTGTTCTTAAAAGAAGGAGCCTTACTTAAAGTAGATGGGGGAAAGATCTAACTCACAGGATCCATTTTAACTTTCCTTGTGCTTGGCAATCTCTTACTTGGTCCAGGGGTTACTGCCGCTTTTGAGCAACTGAGATCTAGCCAGCACACACCAGTGCCATCTGGTAGCTCAAGTAATTTCATCAACATATGTCATTTAGCCTAAGTCATGTGTGGGCTAACTTCACCTCTCCACTTCTCCCAAGTCCGTCTTACTCTTGGATAATCAGTCATCTGTTCTTTCTGCCATTTAGTTAACTCAGCAAAGCTTCATCAGAGAGTCATAAAAAAATGGAAAGAGAAGGATTTTTAAGGGAAAAGGCTTAGGAATTATGATTTAAAACATTTCTGGTATTCTAGATTTTTTTGTGTGTATGTGTGTAGGGGTGCTTCCTCTGATTTCAGTGAATTTGATTTACCATCAGTGGCCTGATGAAAGTATTGTACCTTCTTATTTACAGATAACTTCTTTCTCACTTAGACTCCTGGCCTGGGGTTCAGTCATGATATTGTTGCCCCAGGAAACTTCTGACATTTGGAATTCCACTTCAGTTCAGCTCATGTTTACCGAGCTGATTGCACGAAAGTCAAGCATATATTCTCCTGCCGTATGTATTGCTGCCCACGAGTAGTACTCAAGTCTGATAGAGAAGAATTGAGTAACTGAACCATTTTAATACGGTAAAAATAAAATTTTAATATGTGAAATAATGTGCTAGTTGCTATGAGGCATAAAAGGAACAAATGCTGAATTTTGTTGTTGAGGAAAGACCACATATACTTTCTGGGTCAGAAAATGGCTCTTTGCAAAAAAAATAAAATAAAATAATGGTTGAGATAAGCAAAAACAGGGAAGGGCATCCTGAGAAGAGATTGTACTAGCCTAGGCTAGGGGCTGAACACACCCAGCCCACACGGGAATCCGGGACTATTTTCCACTTTACCTTAAGCAACCCCTTGTGAGAAGTATAAACCTTCCTGAAAATACATTGTTGTATGGAAGTGCAAATTGCAAAAAAAAAGAAAAAAAAAAAAAGAATAAAAAACGCAGCTCTCTGCTTACAGCCCAGATGGATGGGCAGAGCCCTCCCACTGGGCCTTATCTTTGCATCTAAACTGTGCCCCCTGTGGGAATACTATGTACTGTATACATACGTTTACCAAAGATGCCCCTCCTCAGCCTGCCTAGGGTTTTGCAGAGCCT